GGGGAAATGGTTGGATTGAAATGCTGCCTAGGAGAGTTTAAGATGCAGCTTTTCCTTCCCGTCGGTGGACACCGCTTGTGCCTGAAAACCCACCACGCCGTGGTTAACAACTCTGCTTTCCATCTTACCTAAACCCGTGGCTTTGGGGGGGGCATCCCCGGCAACACAGACTGACCCATGTGCTCTCCATGGCGGGGGAGCTGATGCTGGAGAGCAAGGCGGATGGCAAGGCGGGGGGCTGGGGGCAATGGGCTGCTGGCTGCTGTGTCTTTGTGTGGGGCTGGTGCGTGGCTCTGGGAGCATCAGTGCACGCTCACCAGGGCTGGTGTGTGAGACACAGGCCAGGCTGGGGTGCTCAGGGGCCCTGGTGGGACCCCAGCTCCAGCTGGCCCCCCGGGGAGCCCCCCACCCACTCTAACCACTAGACCCCACTCCCCTCCCAGGCCAGCACAGGACAGAGGAAGTGCTGACTTTGAGTCCCACTCAGAGTTGCTCATTGTGTAACTTTAGATAGATAGATAGATAGATAGATAGATAGATAGATAGATAGATAGATAGATAGATAGGGTATGTCTACACTACAGCACTAATTCGAACTAACTTAATTTGAATTAGTTAATTCGAACTAAGCTAATTCGAACTAGTGCATCTAGACCTAAAAAATCATTCGAATTAGCGTTTTGCTAATTCAGACTAGCATGTCCACACTGAGTGGACCCTGAACCGAAGTTAAGGCTGGCCGGAAGCAGTGCCAGCAGGGCATCAGGTTATGGCTTAGAGTATGGAGCTGCTGTTTCAGGCTAGCCGAGGGCTGTGCTTAAAGGGACCCGACCCCCACCCCGGACAGACAGTTCTCAGGGTTCCCCGCTCGCTTGTCTACCTCGATGAGGGACAGCAAAGCAGTCCTGTCTTGGAGAGCCCTGAGTGCCCACACTCGGCACATCACAGCACTCGGCCATCAGCCCGGCTGCACTTGCCGCAGGCTGCCATTCGGGGGGGTTAATC